GCTGGTTCCTCCCTAACGTACATGAACAGCTCTGTTCAGTCCTTCCAGGATCCACCTGGTCCAGCCCAGCAGGAAGAGTAGAGACAAGCCCATCAGGGTGGACTGGAGGCCATTCAGATTTGAGAGAGCCAGATCCTCAACTGACACAAACAGCCAATGGGGGACATGGTCCAACAGGATCAGCTAGCACTGCCCCAGCCAGCCGAAGCTCTCACGGCGGAGGGCTCACCCAGGCACACAGTGAGCTCCGTGGGTGTGAGTGCCTGCTGCTGATTTGGGCCTTTGGCCATGATGCCATGCTGCTCTCCCACAGCTGCACCTCAGAGAAATTCCCCTTCCTCCCAAGAGACACTGACAGAGTGATGTGCACACATGCACATTCATGGGCTTTGCTCACTCAGCAGTCAGGTCCTTATGGACCTGACTAAGATGATCTCTTTAGCACACACCAGCAGCAGAGTCACTTCCTGTCTTGCCCCAGACCAACCACACCAGAGCCCTGTGCCTGCATGCTGTCCCCCACATGCCCGCTCTTTCCATTTGCAGCTGGGCACAGTCCCAGGCCTGTGCTCTCTCAGGCTTGCTCCTTCCCCGGCCTCACAGAGCTGATCCGCACAATCAGGCTATGTCATGCTAAGGGGGAGTGCAGCTATGTCCCGCTAAGGGGAAAGGGGGTGGTTGCTTCCCCGTCACTCCCTGCCAGCCCATGGACCAGGCAGTATGTGACCCTGGCCATGTCCATCCACACCTCTCTCAGCCCTAGCTGGCACTGTGCTCCTCTGTGTGAGATTCTGACTAGACCCAATATAGGGCCCACTGTGCCCTCCCCGGGGCCTCCCCCTGTCCTTCTGGTGCTGCCAGTAGGTGCCAGCCCTGTAATCAGAAGTTGCCCATGGCCTCCTACCTCTGTTAAGCATCTCCCAGACTCCTCCTGCTGGCATGAGGGCTGAGAGCCCATTGCTGTCTGCAGGCTCTGGGGTCTCAGGCCTTCTGAGGGACTAGCAAGTCAGTGTTTATTGTGCTTGATACAGCATGAGGCAGAGAAGGGGCAGGCAGCCTGTGGGGATCTGCCATGCTATGGAGCTGGCTCATGAACTTCCTGGGTGGGGCTGAGGTTTGGCATCCTCAGTGCCACGTGTGCTGCCAAGGGTCTCCCAAGACACTGATCAGACACGGGAGCAAGTGGCCTGTGGTAGAGCCTGGTCCTGTGTTGCCACCTACTGGGAATGGGGAGGAATAAGCCCAGCTCGAGCACAAGGGTGAGCTGTGGCACTGTGGGCCTGACCCCGCACTTGGCTCTGGGGTGGGCTAGGTACAGCTATGGGAAAGAGGCCACACAGAAGCACAGGAGTGGATGGGGTGATGCAGACATGGGGTGTGGAGGAAGGCAAGTGGAAGAAGCAGACAGGTGCACGCATAGAGTATAAAATCTTGTCCTTTGCATCAGTGTCAAACCTGGCTTGCTGCACCCTGGGTCTGGGGAACACCTTGCAGCAGAGACATGGCAACAAAGTCCAGTGGTAGCCAGCGCTGGCATTAGGGCAGTGTGTGCCATTGTAAGGGGCCGAGAGCAGCTTGGAGGCTCCACTGAAGTAGTGGAATGAAGTGGACCGGTAGCCATTGATTTTCCGGCTGCTGTGAGAACAGTCATCTAGGAAAAAGCAGGCTCTGACACTGAATACAAGTGTTATGCACTGGGACATGGGCAGTTTAGCTTAAGGGCTCATTAGCTGAAGAACAGGTGTAGTCCAGGCCAGTTCCAGGGAGCTGGCGGTCTGGAGGGGTCTGGAGATGGAACTGGATTTGGAAGATAAAGCTGAAGTCAGGACAATTTGGGATCAGAGGCTGAAGCCAGAGCCAAGGGTCAAACCAGAATCACGAGCAGGGAACCGGAATCAGGGAATGCCAAGGGTCTTACCCGAATCAGTCAGGAGTCAGAGCCTGAAGACCAGCAAGGAAGTGCATGGAAGAGCAGAAGCAAAGACTTTTGCCTTTGCTCGGATACAGACACTTGTTTTTAAGGGCTGGAGTGGGGGGCACAGAGGAATGGCTGTCCAGATTGCCTCACTCAGCCCAGTTGGGACCAGGACAGAGCCCTGGGCTTGTTGCAGGTGGTGCTTGTTCTGGGAATGACTTGCCTTAGTTGCTTGATTGGGACTGGCTGGGTCCAGGCTTTTGTCCTGGCCTCATTACAGCTAGCCCCAGAAAACAGAGCCTGCCCTAGATGGTGGTAAGCCATTGGCATGGGAGAGAGGCTGGTCTCCCCCAGGCACTCTGCTCACAGGCAGGGGCTGTGCCCCGAGACCTGCTCTATTTAATTTATTTACTCCACTACCCTTTGTCTGCCTTGGCTATCTAGATGAGATATTCTTGTAGTTGGGCGGCTGCATAAGGCACCAGCTTAGTGAAGTCTGACATCTTTCATTTGGATGCATAATACCAGCCAGAGGATAGCAGGGAGCTAAGGCAGCAAAACAGCTGCATCTATGTGCTTTCTCAGCCAACTCCACCATAGCAGGGGTGGCCAAACTGCAGCTTGTGAGCTCTGGGGCAGCTTATAAGTAGCCTCTGCAGAAAGAGAAGAGGTGTGGACTGTGTGCATATCACTGACCCTGGACCATGAGCCTCTTGCAAGCTGACAGACTTGTGACTCTTGTGCATGCGGAGATTTTGATACATGGCTGGAAAGATGAGGAATTTGGACACTTTGGTCTATAGCCATCTAGACCAGTCAGGGCAACAGATGCCTCAGCATTCATGATCACATACAAAATAACTGCAAATGATCTGTAGGACTGTGAGTTGGGTGAGTCAGTGTTTTTAGGCATCTTTCCTGCTCGATGCAGTGGTCCATGGGCAGAGCATCATCTGGAGCTCCCAGCCCAGAGGTGTGAAAGCAAGTGGAACAATCCAAGGGAAAACAAGGACCTTGGATTCTTTCCTTGTCCACCATCCACAGCACGAGTAAGGAAAACAGTGGGTCATTTCAGTAAGTAGAAACCAAAGTCTTCCCTTTGATTGTATTTGATTCTGGTGATCTGACAACCTCAGCAGGGCTGCCATGTAGATTTGGACAGGGCTGGAGTGGGAACAGTTCTTTGCAATGAGTGCTGCTGACCTTCAAAATGAGCAGGTGAACTGTTACGATGGTGACTGGCAGCAGGGTTTTGAAGGAGCTCATGCCACAGTAGACAGTGGGTGTTGGTGGAAAGGGGCAGCACTGGGTCACAGCAGTTGCTTTTCACAGGGAGCATAGGGAATGCTTTCTGTCGCACCTTCTGGGGAGGTGCTGCTCTGAACAAGACCTTATTACCTAGGAAAGCAGGAAGCATCCACACGGCACTCTCAGTGCAAGGCAGCCCATGGCACCTGGCTTTGAGAGCCACCCATTTCATGGGGCGCAGGAAGCAGTGACCCTCTTCTGGCCACTTCACTTCTCCTGACTTTTCTGGGTAATGCAGACCTACCTGAGGGAGGGACAGATCACAGGCATAGCTGGGAAAGTTCATCTCTCCATCTCCTCTTTCTGTAGCCCTCACAATACCATGTTCGGTTCCAGGCAGAAAGCAGCCAAAGGAACAGACTGGAACCCCGCATTTGCAAAGGGTTGCTGACCCCTGAGATGCTGGGATGCTGGCTAGGATGGACACTGCCAGGCACTGCCCTGAGGGGAGTAAATAACTGTCTGGGGGCTTTTCTTCCAAGTAAGTAGGAATCGCATGGTACCTAGGCCTCTGTGCCACCTTCCTGGGAAGGAATGTGGCTGTGACTCAATGGCACCTGATAACCATGTTGGTGAGGGAGAGTTATATCACTCAGGCACAGGTCAACTCTGTTTGTGTCACCCAGTCCAACACCTGCTTTCCCCCATGCTCCCTCCGTATCACCGCCTCCTCATGGAGCTTTTGTGTAACGTGCCTGGGAACCAAGTGAGGAAACCTGGGATGTGGAGACAGCCATAGGCAGGTGGGGGATGTTAAGGGAGACTGGGGGAGAGAGGTTTGTCTGGGGGCTCTTGACAGCCTGAGACTAGGGTTAACCCAGTGACTATGCCCTGGTGGGCTCCCCACAGCAGTGCAGCAAATCAGGACGTAGCAATGCCTTAGTATAGAGGCATGGCTCCCTGGCAAGACAGAGACGCCAGCCTGGGCTATGAGGAAGCCAAAAATGGCTTTGATGAGGCACTGCTCCAGGTGGGACTCCCACAGAACTTGCTACTTTGGGCTGCTAAGGAGCAGAAGCTCCACTTCTCGGGGAGCATTTCAAGTCTCAGTGCCTCAGGATATGGACAGGTGACTCCTTTACTTTACAGTCATTTACCCACAGTTTTGTTCCGCAGTGAATTTAGCCTGTGGTAAGGAGCAGACCCACTGTCATCTCCCACAGGCTGGCAGCCTGAAGCAGGTGCTATGACTGCACCTGGCCACTAGATTGTGAAGGAGCTGGTTTGCATTGAGCAAATTGCTACTGAGCCAAAAGCTGCTGTCAGTTCAGCAGCAGTTGTGGCAGGGTTCAGACTTGAGCTATGGCACTCCCAAAGACAGAATGAAAAGTAGACTGTGTCTCTGCTCCATGCGGCCAGAACTCAACCATGACTGGGAAAATCTTAGTTTCTTCATTCTGGCTTCCCAAAACAAGGATGGTGTCTTATTTAGGGGCATACTGTATGTGGTAAAATACCATCCTTTACTTCTGATTTCCTCTGAAGTCACTTTACACCAGAGAGTTGCCTTTCCTCCAGAGCACGTGTTGTGTGTCATGCATGCACTCCACTTTTTCTCTAGAGTGAATGAAGGATACAATGGATTTGGCAACAAAGTGCCAATTGAGCTACAGACATTTATAGTAGTTGAGGATTTGCCCCTCTATTCCATACTAAAAGTATTGTAGAAGACAAAATTCTTCTAAGTGCAAATTTCATTGTGATTTTAACTATGGAATCGCCACTGGTGCCTCCATAATTACACATGTGATTAATAATGACACCTGTGTCTACCATGTGTGGTTGTAAAATATATCTATTGATTTATACAATATAAACATGTCATTCATGGATAAGGCTTGAAAACAGCTGAAATAATGCAGTTATGCAGACATGGTAAGGTGCCTTAGGGTCATAGGCGTGCCCATATGGAACAAAGAATTGATGCAGTCTGGAAGAGGTTGCTAGCACTTTTGGAGAAGACAGACATATGGGATCAAACCTCCAGTTATGAGTATCTAGCTTCAGTTGGAGAGGTATGATGTGCATCATACCTCTTCAACTGGAACTAGATACTCATCAAAGCCTCTTTGTATGCGTCTGTCTGTCAGTGCTCTGGGGCAGACAGACAAGAGGGTAGGTTCTTTGGACTATTTTAAATGCAGGGCTGGATCATTCCTGAAGGCCCTCAGACCATCTCTCCTGTAGCAAGGATCTGTGAAGTTTGAAACAACTAGAGGCATGGTGGTTCATGCATTATGGACCCCCAGACGGCAGCCCTCTGACTTGGGCTGAAGTTGTGTTCAATCTGCCCCTGCTGGCTCTGCAGCTTGAAAAACCAAGTCACAAGCAACTTTCTGGAACAGACTCCTCTTGCATGGCAGGACTCACAGAACTGTCCTTAGTGGAGGCACAGCTTTGTCTGAAGGTTTAGAAGCATTGGAAACTACACACCTGGAGACCTACACATGAAGATCAGATCCCAGCTCTTCAGAAGGGCACTCTCCTTGCAACACACTCCTAGCAGCAAGCCAGGGAGATTCCAGAATGCCTCTGCTCTTTTCACTTCCAGGGGAAACATAGTGGTTGTTGACCCCTGGAAGCTGGCAGTGCCCAGCAGGAAAGCTCCTTTGTGTTCCTTTGTCGTTACCTTTGTGCACCAGTGACTTTGACATCTCCACAGATACCATCCAGCAGATGAACCCATGTGGGATGGAGAGCTGACAGCTAGGCACTGCTATGATACAAGGAAGGCACTATGACACTTGCTGCCTCCAGCCTTGAGGGGTATAGTAGGGGGTGATGGGTTGTAGGTGTAGTGTGATATGCTCTGCTGCACCTTGGCTACTGCAGCAGCTCCTAGGTGACCATAGTCACCAGCACACTTTAGAGAAGTCTTCATTGTACCCCCCTCATCTCCTGATGGGGGAAAAGGAAAAGTGCCTTAGACTCACATTTCCTCTTATCTTTCCAGGTCCTACAGGGAGCACAGCTCAGACCCAGGCATCTGGCTCTGAGTCCTTCCTGTGTTTGCTGTGGTGGCTTCAGACTTCCCCAGTGCTACTGAGCTTGTGTATTTCCTGCAGAGCAGTAGCCCTGTCCTGGGCCCAGTTGGACAAGTCACTTCCTTGCCTGGCTTTGCCCTTTGTCTTGCAGACCAAAGACTCTGTTTCCATGTCAGACAGTTTTCAGCTTCAGCACCTTGGAGAGTGGCTCTTTGGCGCTTGAGTAGATGAGGTAAGAGCCTCCAGTTGTGTTAAAAGCTTCCCAGTCTCTACAGCCAAAGGTTGGGAGATGGTGCACTGCCACAAAGCCTTCATACCCCTGCCACCTGCAGAACAGGGGATTGGAGTTAATACCCACTGCAGGGAGCTGCACTCCAAATGCACTGTCTCTCCCCACCTTTGCTCCTCATTTGCTTTCTTCTCCAGAACGGCTATGGTTGAGGACCTGCACTAGACAAGGGTCTCTCAACATGAGCACTGGGGGAACAAAACCTATCAGAAACAGAGGCTGTAACCCCTCCCATGCTAAACACCTCATTGATGAGTTTTGTAGCTCTATACAAGGCGCAAATCTCCCCTGCCTTCTGCCTTTTATAGCTCTGCCACAGTAAGGACCAGAAGGAAGAACTAATTGACCCTGTAGCATTAAACCTTTTATATCTAGAAAGGCAGTTGAAAAATTGCCTGGCAATGACACTGCATTATTATCCAAAGTCTGTGGAGTTAGGCTCTGTGCAAGGAGTTTGATGGTCTTAGTTCAGTCCCAGGGGGACGGGATCAGAGACATCCCCACAGATGCTCATTGGGAGCTTTTGGACAGACATAGAAATGGGTCAGAGCTCAAACCTTCACCCTGGGCTCAGAATGCTGGGCCTTTGTGGAGATGCATATAAAAGTTTGTACTGCTCCTATCCAAGGGCAGGGCGTCCCCTTTTGGCCTCCTGAATCCACCCGTGCTCCTAGCCACACTGCCCATGTCCCCTGGC